ACTACCGACCTTCTGGTCTGCAGCTCAGCGTCTTAACCTCTGAGCCACCGTGGCCCTGTAACTACCCGTAACTTACAGATTCGTGGGGAGGGCGGGGTAAAAATGCATATATAAATGAATGAACAGCAAGATTCGAGTCCAGTAGCACCTTAAAAGACCAAGAAGATATCAAAGGTAAAAGCTTTCAAAAGTATCTGATGAAGGGAATGCTAACTCACACTTGCACCCTGGAAATCTCGTTAGTCTTATAAGTTGCTACTGGACTGGAATCTTCTACCACAGTCCAGGATGGCTACCCACCGTGTAGATGAACAGTTTTTGGAGCACAACCTTTTTGGGGCCACTTCCCCAGTCGCCTACAGAGCTTCTGACGCTATGACTCTATTTGCCTTTACAAAGGTCACACTTATTGCCTTTCAGAAAACACAGTAATGTTTAATAAAACGATGGCATGCTGCTCCTTGCTTTGTCACTCTCCAGTGTCATAATAGTGAATTTATCACACAGAATATCCACTGTTACACAGCACACCCATTGTATGCATTTTTAACTCTGTTTTGTAGGAGTTTTAACTCTGCTCTTTAATAGTTTTAATGATGTGTGTCGGGGGGTTGATTTTAATGGTTTGAAAAAAGTGATTTTATCATAGAAGAATCATAGAATTGGAAAGGACCTCCGAGGTCACCTAGTCCAACCCCCTGCACAATGCAGGAACATTCACAAATACACACCCCACACACCCCAGGGACCCTGTTCCATGCCCAGAAGATGACAAAAAAACCTCCAGGATCCCTGGCTAAACTGGCCTGAAGAAAAAATGCTTCCTGACCCTAAAGTAGGGATCAGCATTTCCCTGGGCGTGTAAGAAAGGGCCACGAGAACTAAGCACTGAAGCAACCCTTCCTCCCCTCCCTCTCATGATCTGCCTAAGTCCACAGCATCAGCAGTGCAGTCAGATGGCCATCTAGCCTCTGTTTAAAATTGTTATCTGCCTTGGTGGCCCTTGTAAGGGCAGAAAGGTTGGGAACAAATGTTGTAAACAAACAAATAAATATCCAGGACAGACAAATATGCATCTGGGTGCCAATTTAGCTTCTTCCTGCTTGTCCCTACTAAGGTAACACAAAACTCTCTTCTCTCTGTCTCTGTGCCTTTTGGCGGCAGCCAAAAGATGTGGGGGCAGAAAGGGGAAAGTGGCCCCCACCGACCAGCTGTCTGGCAGGGCTAGAAGCACAGTGTTCCCTCTAAGCTGAGTTAGTGTGAGCTAGCTCACAGTTTTCTAGCCTCCAGCTCACAGATGTTTGTGTTAGCTCAGGAAGGATGGCTCCAGAGCAAACTAATTCAAGCAGCAGCCAAACTGCTCGCTCACAACTTTAATGCTAGTAGCTCACAAAGTAGAATTTTTGCTCACAAGACCCCGTAGCTTAGAGGGAACATTGCTTGTGGTACCTAAAAAACTAACAGATTTATTGTACCTATGAAGCTGCCCAATGCTGACTCAGACCATTGGTCCATCCAAGTGGGTACTATCTGCTCGGCGTGGCAGCAGCTCTCCTGGATCTCAGGCAGAGGCCTTTCACACTACCTGCTGCCTGGTCGCCTTTGCCTGGAGATGCCGGGGACTGAACCTGGGACCTTCTGCACGCCAAGCAGAGGCTCTGCCACTGAGTCCCAGTCCCTCCCCGTGAACACATGCAAGTTCAAATCAGATGCCTAAACTTTTGTGATCTCATTTTTAAATGTTAAGAAGTTTTACTCACACATGTTGGTTCTGGGAGACTGGGATCGTTCTCAATGACAATTTTCTTTGCTTCCTCCAGGTTTTTTTCACGTCGCAGCGCATCTTCTGCCTGACATTTAAAAAAAAATAGTAATTTATTCTGGTAATCCATTAAAAAAAGAGAAAAGAATGTAGACCACAATCCAAAACAATTCAAATTAGTGGAAATCTTGCTATCACATTCAAGTGTGTGGTAGAGTGCCCTCTAGGAAGCCTATACTACTGCGTGTAGATAGGATCCTACTATGTGATTTTTGTATCATTTCATGTGTCATGTTAGAAGGAGAAAAGACTGGATTTATATCACACTCTTCACTCGGAGTCTCAGAGCTGCTTACAAACTCCCTTCCCCTCCCCACAGCAGACACCCTGTGAGGTAGGTGGGGCTGAGAGATCTTTCGAGAACTGCTCTTTCAAGAACAGCTCTGAAAGAACTATGGATTGTCCGAGGTCATCCAGCAGCTGCAAGCGGAGGAGTGGGGAATCAAACCCGGTTCTCCCAGATTAGAGTCTGTGCACTTAACCACTGCACCAGACTGGCTCTCATGCTTTGCTTCAGTTCTGGTTTTTGACTGCATCAGAATTCCAGGTCGAGGGGGGGGGGAGGCTGACATTAGGTAATCCATACACCTGCATTTATATGCTAGGGATAGGTGGAAATAGTTAATAATTGGGATTCTTCATTATCACCACTCAAAGAGAGAAGAACGAGCCAGGTTCATGCATATGTCAGTTTAGCATCCAGGTGAAACTAATGCAGAGCATTAAGTACATCAAAGGGTTTGGACATGGGGCCAGTTCACACATAATGTGCATGCCACTTGAGGATCTGTAGCGCAATGTGAAAGTTCGTGCCAATGAGAAAAATTGTGATATGATGCAGCACAACAATTCGTGATGCTGGCAATACAAAAAAGCACTCAGCCATGGGATTCTGCACCTGAGCAGCAACCCATTTAAACTGGGACGCACCTGTGCAAAGTAGCCATGTGGCAGCTATGGCAACTCCGCATGCGTAGTGACTCACTTCCAACCAGACTCTGTGCGAACGCAAAGTCACACAGTAAGTTTTCCCTGGTCAACATCAGGCCTCGTTAGGGCTGCCAAGTCTCGTTGAATCGTGGCGGGGGATCGTCATTCTTTACAGGAGCTCTGCCGCGGGGGACGGCAACAGGCGTTGCACCGCCATCGCCAGGATGTGACGCTACGCGTCGCTCTGGCAACGTTGCGTCACATCCTGGCGACGGCGGTGCAACGCCTGTTGCCATCCCCCGCGGCAGAGCTCCTGTAAAGAATGACGATCCCCCGCCACGATTCAACGAGACTTGGCAGCCCTAACGAGGCCTGATGTTGACCAGGGAAAACTTACTGTGTGACTTTGCGTTCGCACAGAGTCTGGTTGGAAGTGAGTCACTACGCATGCGGAGTTGCCATAGCTGCCACATGGCAACTTTGCACAGGTGCGTCCCAGTTTAAATGGGTTGCTGCTCAGGTGCAGAATCCCATGGCTGAGTGCTTTTTTGTATTGCCAGCATCACGAATTGTTGTGCTGCATCATATCACAATTTTTCTCATTGGCACGAACTTTCACATTGCGTTACAGATCCTCAAGTGGCATGCACATTATGTGTGAACTGGCCCCATGTCCAAACCCTTTGATGTACTTAATGCTCTGCATTAGTTTCACCTGGATGCTAAACTGACATATGCATGAACCTGGCTCGTTCTTCTCTCTTTGAGTGGTGATAATGAAGAATCCCAATTATTAACTATTTCCACCTATCCCTAGCATATAAATGCAGGTGTATGGATTACCTAATGTCAGCCTCCCCCCCCCCTCGACCTGGAATTCTGATGCAGTCAAAAACCAGAACTGAAGCAAAGCATGAGAGCCAGTCTGGTGCAGTGGTTAAGTGCACAGACTCTAATCTGGGAGAACCGGGTTTGATTCCCATCGTGACCTGGGCCTGCCAAGCCGCGGTGGGGGATCCGTATGTCTCCACAGGATCCCTGCCGCGGGGGACAGCGATACGTGTTGCACCGCCGTCACCAGGATGTGACGCTACGCGTCGCTCTGGCAACGGGACTCCAAACAGCCCCGTTGCCAGAGCAACGCGTAGCGTCACATCCTGGCGACAGTGGTGCAACGCGTATTGCTGTCCCCCGCGGCAGGGATCCTGTGAAGACGCACGGATCCCCCGCCGCGGCTTGGCAGCCCTAATTGCCAGTCCATTACCATAATAGTAACTTTGGTGGGTTTCCTACTGTGAGCCAACCTTGCAGGGAGGACTTGCGAGGTTATGCCGGGAAAGTCAGGAGTTTGTCCTTTGGCTCCTGGCTGGAGGGACATAGGAGGACTGGAGGCCTTTTTGACACAATACTCTACCTGTACATGACACACAACTCCACCAACCCTCCGGCACACATCCCCATGTAGACAAACAGAACGTGTGAACTGGGCACTCCTGAACATTGTATCAGTTCCTGTAAGTTATAATGGAGTACATTTTTCCATCTACACAGTAGCTGCCACCTGGTCACCCGATCTGCACATTATGTTTTTCCACAGAGTACACATCCAAGCATGGGTGGAACTACTCACGTGGGTAATATGAGACCACCATAAAAATTAGGGGGAAAAAGACAGCTGTGAGGGGACATGATAGAGGCTTATAAAATTATTTATTTATTTATTTATTTAACCTTCGATTTACCGTATATACCGCCCTAACCCCCCCAATGGGGGTCTCTGGGCGGTTTACAACTTTGTAGTGCTAATCACTTTTATGGATCCCTAACTATGGGCACATTCTCAGGGGTTGGGTCAGCCTACATGGGTGGGAAAAATTAGACATGGGGTGGGGAAAAAGGGATAGAGAGAACTTTTTCTCCCTCTCTCATAATACTAGACCTGGGGAACCCAGCATAATTGATGGGCAATAGATTCAGGAAAGACAAAAGGAAACGCTTACTTACTTGACGGTCAGTGAATGTGTGGAATACACTGCCGGTGGTTGTAGCAACGGCCTCACACATAAATTGCCTTTAAAATGGGATTAAGCCAAATTCATGGAGGAGAGGCCAATCAATGGCTGTTAGACATGGAAAGTAAAGGGAACCTCCATAGTCAGAGGCAATAAACTACTGAATACCAGTGTTGGAGGCAACAGCAGCAGGGCTGAAGGCCTCAGCCTGTATACTCTGTTTGTTGGCCCTTATGGACAACTAGTTGCCTGCTAAGTGAAACAGAATGCTGGACTAAGCTAACCACTGGCCTGCTCCAGAAGAGCTCTTCCTATGTTCTTAAACAGAATTCATGTCAAAGCCCAAATTCGGTAAAAGGTGCTATTTTGTTATCAGTTAACTTGTCAGGTAAAGTTGAACCAATGAAGACAGTACCTTCAAAGCTGTTTTGAAAGGCTTCTCCTCTGTTCCATCGCCTGTGGAGTCGCATCCCTCTCGGTCTGAGACGTACATCTCTCCTGTAAAAGCACACAGAGACGCTGATCCGAGCTGCTGTTTTGTGTACACACACGCAGCCACACACAACTCAAGTCAGAGAAAACACCCACCTCATTCTCCAGGCCACAAGTCATTGTACAGACTGTTGAAAATGAAGGTCAAGCGTTTGTGTGTTTCTCTACTTTGGTGCTGGGTTTCTTAGCGGCAGAGACTCCCAACCCAAACTCCCAGAGTTCACAGAAACAGACAAGCAAAGACAAGGAATTTTGTGTTACTCTTTGGCTGCGATCAAACACACTACATCATTTGCTTTCAATCCACTTTCAGTGCACTTTCCAACTGGATTTTACTGTGCGAACTGGCAAAATCCAGTCGGAAAGTGCACTGAAAGTTGATTGAAAGCAGATTATTTAGTGTGTGTGATCACAGCCTTTCTGTTCCAAATTTATACTTGTTATGCCCTAGGAGACTGTCAGCAAGAATGAAGGATTTGGAGTGTTGCTTCCTGCTTTTGTGTGTCCCCCCCAAAAATACTTTCTCCTGTTTGCTCTATAGCATTTGAGTTAGGTAGCTTCAGGTGGTCAGCAGTGTTGGTTTGAAGCAGGAGAACAAATTTAGAGTCCAGTGGCACCTTTAAACCTTTGTTGGTCTTAAAGGTGCCACTGGACTCTAAAGCTGAGTTAGGTGTTTGCTGTTTAGGTGCCTTATGTCAACCCCTGGGTTGCCACGGAAGCTGGAGGGAGGCCTGCTGTGGCTGGGAATGTTCACTTTCACTTTCTGCTCATTTACTTTCACTTTCTGCTCATTTAGCCAGCTAGATTTAGAAATGTAACGAGCTCCTGGTGTCGGTTTTCCCCCTAGGAAGATAGGACTGTTATATTCTGGCGGGCTCGCTGCTTAGTGTGATTGGATCAGAGCCATTAAAGCAGGGGTGTCGAACTCATTTGTTATGAGGGCCAGATCTGACATAAATGAGACCTTGTTGGGCCAGGCCATGCGTGTCATAAAATGTAATGCCAGGTAGCAGAGATATAAATTTTTATAAAGGACACAAACGTAAAGATTTTTTTTTACTTAAAATAAAAACATGCTTAAAATATTAGCTCTGTAAGCTGCAAACCTACTTTTGATTTATTGACAATCACCACAGAAATCTCACGTTCAGACTTCTGAGTCCAGGACCCAGGTTAAAACATGAAACGTGATTAAGAGTCTGGCAAAGCAAACTATGATGCTGCAGCAGCAGAACTGGAAGCAGGAGATGGCCAGTTCCACCGCGGGCCTGATGGAAGCCCTCCGGGGGCCTGATCCGGCCCCTGGGCCGCATGTTTGACACCCCTGCATTACAGAGTCGGGGGTGTGTGTGGTATAACTGCTAGCTTTGAGCGCTTTTGGGTTAGTTCTAACACAAACATTAAGAGTCTGGATACCTTCACTGTCTCAATAAACTTTTATTCTTATGAATGACTGTTGTTGGGAACTGAATGCTCCAGGGTTCTGACACCTTTGGAAGAGGCCTGTCATAGCTCATAAGAAAGTGGAAGGGGATTACCTTGCCCATCTGGTTACAGGAAGTAACGGGGGGGGATTTTCAAGGATGAAGACAGGGTTATAAACAGGCCTGGTGGAAAAAATATCCCCCAAATAGAGGCTTAATGTGTGGAAATGGGTAGCTGAAGCTTTTAATGGCACAGAGATAAGGTAAATAATATCACCTGGGAAATCCCATTAAGCCACTATTAGAGAGGGTTGGAATAAGATCTGGGAGACTTAGGTTTGAATCTCCACTGCCAGGGAAGGGTGCAGGATAACCTTGGGCCGGCCACACAGGGTCAGCCTAACCCTAACACAAAGAGCAGCTGTGACGATAAGAGGAAGGAGAATGATGCAAGCTGCTTTGGTCCCCACCAGGGAGAAAAGGAATAAATAAATTTCTGTTTGCATTTTAATGAAAGAAGAGTGCTTAAAGCATGAATCGACCACATGCAGTCTGCTGTGATCCATTCCGTGGTAAGCGGGGATTCAAAGAGAGGTTTCCCAAATCCTGCTCTGGCACCCAGAGACCTGTAGTCAACCCTCCCTTCCACTTTTGCTTGCTGGGGTGGTTTTCTGTTTGCAGGAGGTATGTAAACACTTTGGGGAGGCTACACAGTCCCTTCACCCACCTTAAGGAAAAGAACCGACCTAACAGCCCACCCTTTAGTCTCTGGCCTACAACTTCTCCTCCCGCTCTTTGGTTTCCATGGCAGCAGGTGGATGGAACCTATGCACAGGCTTCGGCCCACCTAGCTTGGGGAGAAACCAATACCTCCCCCCCTTAAAATGCAGCCACGGACACACCCCTTCAAGGGGTCCCCTTGTTTGCAGGGGACCCATTTTGCCTGCCGCTGGTTGGCAAAGGGCCAGGCATGCCGCTGGAAAAGGCAATGCTGAAGATTAGGGGTGCGTTGACACATGCTAAATAACGCAGTTTCAATCCACAGTGACAGTTTGCAAGTGGATTTTGCCATTCCACACAGTAAAATCCAGTTGCAATTGACAATGTTCCCGCTAAGCTGTGGAGTCTTGTGAGCAAAAGTTCTACTTTGTGAGCTACTGACATCAAAGTTGTGAGCAAGTGATTTGGCTGCTGCATCAATTAGTTTGCTCTGGAGCCCTCCTTCCTGAGCTATGACAAAAATGTGTGAGCCAGAGGCTAAAAAACTGTGAGCTAGCTCACACTAACTCAGTTTACAGGGAACAGTGGTTGCAAAATGTGTCTCCAGCCGGTCAACACCTCCGCATTGAACCTACTTCCTTTTCCTTTAAAAAACCTCTTGCATCAGTTCCCAGAACTGAACACGGAGTGGGGAGGCAGGAAAACGCGTGGCCCGAATCACAACGGCTCTTTCCAAGGAGATTTATCTGGGTAACCCAGTATCAAAGGGCAGGTCCGCAGAAGCCCTGATTTTGAACAGCTGCTGGTTATACCCAAATCTCTTGTGTTTCCTGGCCCAGCCGAAACCTGGGGGGGGGGCCCCTCGTGCCACAGATAAAACTTGGGGTTTTAAAAAACCGGGAGCGTAATGGTGGCTAAGAAGACCATCTTTTTTTCTTTTCTTTTTCTCATTAACATTTTATTGGTAGGATTAAAGCAATAAAACGAATATAACAATAAAAATATACATAAAGGTCATAAGAACAGTTATACATTCAAACCAACACACTAATTACAAAAAAGGTAAGCTTTAAAGAATGATACATTCTTCAATAAATCTTTGAACAAAGTGACTTATTTTAGCCTCAATTTGTAATTGATGCCTGTACCGTTTGTTGCTTTAGATACAACCAAGTGTCTTCTGCCCTCAAGAATATCTGTAGACATTCAATGATATATCTAACCATATTAAACACAAAGTACTAAAGATGGTCTTTTTTTTTTTATGGTTCAAATAAAGAAGACCATCTTTAATTCATCCCTTGCAATGCACCAGAGGCCGCCGAAGCAAACGATCCGGAACCTCACTGACCCAGACAGCACCCAACCGGCCCCGGTGAAGCATAGGGAGAACGACACCCACCCCCGTGCCCTCCAGAGCCCCCAGCCCCAGATCCGCCAGGAGGGCAGGAATAATCCCCTACCCCTTCCTTCCTTCCCCATTGCAAGCTCACCCAAGGCCAGCCTCTCCGCGTTCTCAATGATCACTGCAGACATGGCTGCTCTCCTAAAAGCCCGGCCGCGACAGAGGGGCGCTGCTCTTCGGGCTGCCTCTTTGGCTTTCCACCGGCTCCCCAGAAATTACGCCCGATGGCAGCCGGATTGCATCAGGCGCACGCAGCTCGCCCTGCCGCAAAGCAAAGCCGAGTGCCGCACGGAGCCGGGTTGATCCCACCCTCTGCAACGCCGCTTGCCGGGGAAGGAGGCGGCTTTGCCGGGCAGGAACAGGAGGCGTGTCGCCTGCAAGGCTGACGTCGGGTTTTTTCCGTTTCAGGCTCGCGAGTTGCATCGGCTACGTTGTCTTTTGAGAAGCACTCTGGTTCAAATGAATATTGTTTATTGAAACTACATAGATATAACAAAATACTGATATCCTCACGGTAAATTGTTTATGGTTTATAGGGTCACTTTGTTTTTCACATTGTTAGATATGCTATTGAATGCCTATTGATAGTTTAGAGGGCAGAAGGCACTTTATTGAGTTAATAACAGCGAACAGAACAGGCTTTAATTAGAATACATTGTAAAAACAAGGTATTTTGTTCCAAAGTTTATTGAATTATACATCATTTTTCAATGCTTACATTTTTTATTCATATTGTACTGGTTAATATGTTTAACTGTTCTTTAGTTCATTATGGACTTGGCTAATGTTATAAAAATGTGATTGTTATGTTTTCTAATTGTATTATACCAATAAAATGTTATTGGGGAGAAGCACTCTGCCTGTGCACAGAGATGCGTTGCTTTTCAAGTTTTGTTTTTATAGAACTATTTTTTTTTGGGGGGGGGGCTCTCTGTATATGCTCTGTAGAAGCACCTGCCCTGAACAGTCTCCCAGCATTTTTACAGCACGAGTTGGCCCGCCTGTTCTATGGGACCGAGGAGCTATTCGGCAGCTGCTGTTCATAAGACAGGGTAAAAGCCGGAAATAGTGCCGCAAGAAAACAGTAGGGTGCAGTACAGACGCTCGAGAACAGTATTTTAGACATTTAAAAAGCAGCATTCTCGCACTTTTATTTACCCTTTTGAGGCCAAAATGCCTCCGGAATAGGCTAGAAGGCCATTAAACTAATAATAGCATCACTAACAACTGCGAGAAAGGTTAAGGGCACTCCAGGACAGTATTTTGGAAACCAAGACGCAGAAATACTGAGCTCGGACATCACACGCGAGAGGTGGGATTTGCACCCCGGGGCATGCAAAAAGTCCAAGGCGACCACCCCGGGGCTCTGGGAGGCGGGGGAACGTTTCGCGCGCCCCCACCGCGGTCGTTGTTGCTGCCGCCGCCGTTGGCGCAACCCCCTGCACAGTTACTCCAGAGCAGCCCTATTGAGCTTCATAGGGCGTTGCCGACGAGCAGCCTGGCTGGAAAGGACAGGAGGCATTTGTCTGCAGAACTGAGAGGGTTAAACTCAGGGAGCTGTTGGCTAGAGAGGCCATGCAAGGAATGGAGTGGGTGGGAAAAGAGGATAGGCTCTTTTCCGGGGTGGAGGGAGGGTTTGCTTTGATGGGCAAAAGAGAGCGGGAAGAGCTTCAGATAGGCAACAGCCGGAGAAAGTCGTGCACCCGGATCCCAGGAAGGTTTACTCACAAGGACGTCATGGGAGGGGGTTGGTTTTATGATGTGTGTTGGGGGGGGGGATTTTAAATACTTTCAAAGTTGTGATTTGCTTTCCTATGTTTTAATTTGTTAGCTGCTTTGGTGACCCTTTTGGGGGAACAGAGAGATGAGATCTGAATCTTGTAAATAAACATAATTTCTCAGCCACGGTGTTCCTAAGGAGGTCCAGACAGGAGTCCCAGGCGTTATTAGGAGGGAAGGTGTTCTTTTGCAAAACCACAAACATCCTTGGCTCATCACATGTCCCTTGTGGGAAGGCTGATATTTTCCTGTTATTAGCCAGGTGTTAACTTTCTTCATGACAGAATAACAAGCAGAGTTCAGCAATTCCTAGTAAGGGGCCTAATGACGCCTAATATGGTCATGCAATCTTGTGTGTTCCGCAAAGGCTCTATTTCTTATCTGGTTCTCCTATTTGCAAAAGCTATGTTCCCTTAATGATTTGCAAAAGCAAATGTGTTTCCCTAATGGAATGGCCTTATAATGCAAGTAAATTCAGGTGCATGCTTTACTGTCACTTTTTCCCAGGCTCCAGTTTACCTTGAGATGTAGACCGTGGTATGGACTAATAGGCAGTCATAGGAAGCCAAAGTCATAACATCTGGGACAGATTTTTAAAGAGCCAAATAGAGATGGCTTACTTTCCTGAAGGACCACACAGGCATCTCTTAAAAAGCTCGCTACCTAAAATAGCACAATGACATTAATCCTGGTCCACAAAGTATAACAAGGATGCTCCTTCTGAGCCACTGGGGCAACCCTGTCTCTTTACCAGGATTGGTGATGTAATTCCATTCTTTTTTGTCTTATTTTTGCCTTTTTGATTACCTTTCACAGTTGGAGGCGACCCCAGAGAAAGGGGAAGGAGACGGAAGAGGAGGACCCAGAGGGACCTGGAACGGGCAAGGGATCAAGGAAAGGTCCCCATCCCGCCCAGCCTGGGAGTGGTGTTGAATTTTGGGAAAGAGCTGTGCCAGAGATTGTGACTCAGGACACTAGGACCGCAGATGTACGCAGCCGATGCTTCCGGCTGTTCTGCTACCATGAAGCCAGTCGACCTCGAGAGGTCTACAGCCATGGACTTTGCAACCACTGGCTGAAGCTGGAGAGACACACCAAGAAGCGGATCCTGGGGCAGTTCCTGGCTACCCTGCCCCAGGAAATGCAGTGCTGGGTCAGAGGATGCAGTCCTGAGACCAGTTTCCAGGCGGTGGCCCTGGCCAAAGGTTTCCTCCTGAGTCAGGCAGAGGAGAAGAGGCAGGCACAGCAGGTGAGAGGGTTTCCTCAGTTCAAGCAACGACCTTTTCCTAAGGCCTCCCTGCCAGATATTTCGACCTCTAGAGACTTCACTAGGCTGAGGTTTCCAGCCAGCCATGATTCTTGGCCCTGTGGTTGAAACAGCTCCGCTGGTCGATGCAGGGATGAGGAGTCTGGGAAGTGGGGCATGATCCGCCTCCTCACCTTGTTCCATTTCTTCTCTTACTAGTCTCCCTTACTGTTGTTTCAGGTGAGGGGACCATGTGTGAAGATGGAAACGGAGTTCTCTGAGGCAGAAGGAGCTCCATCAGAGGAAAGTCAGAGAGCGTAGGGCCAGGGATGGGCCCAAGACGCCCTCTCAAGTGGTAAGGGTTCCTCCTGCATTGATGGAATCGGGGCACCTAGTCAAGTTTTTTAAGGGAGCGGTGGCGCAGGCTGTAAAAGCCTGCAGTAATATATCGCTGAACAGCCTTAATAGCTGTTCGAGTCCCACCGCAGCCGAAGTAAGCTCCCGGTCCTCATCCTAGCTCCCGCCCACCCAGCGGTTCGAAAGCCTTCGGGCAAGTAGATGAATGGGTACCCACTCCTAGGAGTGGGGGGGCACCTTCCTTCCTCCATGAACTGGAGTGCAGCAGAAATGGCGACAGATGGCGTATGGAGATCCTGTGATCCGGCGAACATGGCGGCGGCTGGCGGCGAAAGGCAGCGGACGACCCAGACGGTGGTTGGCTTGGAGGGCGCGGTGATGAGACGACGCAGCGTGGTCGGAGCCTATGCGGACGGAGACCAGCTGCTGCAGCCGCACAGACCGTGCCTGAAGGAGTCACTGCGAGGAAAAGAGCAGACCTCGCCAAGAAAAACCGCCGCCTGGAGACAGAAGATCCCTCCATGGATGAAGCAACATGGAATAACTCGGCTGCTCAGGTGCCCGGTAGGCACTCACCCTTCCCTGTATTTGTGGCCCTAGTTAGATGAAATGTAGAATGCTCTGTAAACCGCTCTGAGCCTTCGGGAAGGAGCGATATATAAATGTAATAATCAGGGGTCATTTCCTGCAGGAGCGCACAGGAGCGGAGCTCCGGCAGTAAAGAGCCCAGGGGGCGGGCACAAGCAACAAGACCCACCCCCTGTTCCCAGAAGCCCTCAGTCAGAGCAAGAAGCAGCCAGGTAAGTTGCAGAGCTCCCCCCGGCCCCCTGGTCCAAAACAGTCCAGTGGCATCTTTAAGACCCAAGTTTTATTCAGGTACAAGCTCTCCCTCCTCTGCGAGGACAGATTTTGCACATTCCCCCCCCCCCCCCCAATAGCTGGCAATCCAAAATAGTCCAGTGGAGCCTGAACGGTGGGTGTTGCCGTCTGACACACTTCCGGTGAGGTCAGGGGGTGTGGCATATGCAAATAAGTTATGCTAATGAGTTATGCTAATGAGCTCCTGCACCTGTTTTTCTACGAAATGACCCCTAATAATAATAATAATAATAATAATAGAAGGTTTAGGGCATGACTTCTGGGACTCAGTGCCATAGGATGAAGTGGGAGCAGACAAATTCGTGGAAGGCAGTTCCATTCTTATTTACATTAATTAAAATAGTCATACCTTGGTTTCCATTAGAGGGACTCAATGAGGCTCAAAAGGGAAATCTGGGTGCAGCTTTTAGCTGTGGTGAATAAATGGATCCTCCTTTGCTAGAGACCGATAATCGGGCTTCTGCGCCCCTGTGTGAAGGCTTTCCAGGGACACCTGGCTGGCCAGTCACAAAGAATAAACTGGACTAGCGACGCCTGGCTTCTGCCTGGCTCCTCATGAGCTTTGGGAATGGGGCATGGGATGGAAGTGGCGTCATGCTGACGTCTCTTCCAGTAGAAACAGGACACCCTGGAAACCCACTGATATTACTCTCGGATTTCAGATATGCTCGTCTCTTCTGGGTTTTCGGACAGATGTAACAGCTGTTTCCGCCCTTCTTGTTCTCCCACCAGACCAGACTCAAGGGCACGTGAGGGGGGGCAGTCGACAGGAGATCCAGCAGGGATGGCGTCATGTACTTGAGTTCCAGAGTTCACAGGGCGCATTTCAAGTCTCACGGAAGTCTGCGACGTGTCGCCAAAATCTATAACCCCCTTGATGTTCATCAGCCAGTTCCACAACCTCCTGAAAATCATGACAAGGTCTGTTTGAGAGTATATAGGGCAGGGTTTCACACCCCTTCGAGGGGGTGCGTGAAGGGGGTGCAGGATTCAAAAAAG